ATATACGAGCAAGGAAAAAAACACAAGAGAAAATAATCGGAGATGAGAGAGAGAGAGAGAGAGAGAGAGAGAGAGAGAGAGGAAAATTTGGCTATTTAAAAGAGAGGATTCTTGGACAAATGGAGGAAGACAAGCCGGTCAGATTGGGTGAGTGGAGCACTGTCACGCCCCGAACCCCATCGAGCTCGCGACATCCTGCTTCGGTCGAAATATTGCGACGTCCCAGGAACGCCGCCGACCCAACCCAAACATCAGAGTTAAATCGCGGCGGAAGCAATCAAAAATCCCGAACAATAAAATTGGAGAACACCAGGAAGGAACAAATCGACAAACCACCAAGCATATATTACACTTCCAAATATTTACATCATCCGCCAATACAAACCATAAAATAATTTATATGCACACCGAACTGTAAACTCCAAACCACCAAATTATTAAGATCAGCTCTCTAGGTCAGCACTATCCAAAAATGGGGCACATCCTCCTCCCAGAACTATCCCCTACGCCCTCTCAAAGGCGTCCACTCTGACTCACTGTCCTCGGCATCACCACTTGAATCCTCCGCAGCTGTCTGCTCACCCGACGACTCCGAGTCGACCTCAATCTCGACATTCAGGCGGGGGCTCTGAAATGGTTTGGTTGAAACAACCATGAGATCACATCTCAATAAGTCACAACCTAAGCCCCACCTAGGCTATCACGTAATTCCGAGATACATCCAAACACGCAACCAAACAACCACACAACCAAAGCAATCAAACATTCACACATACTGGACTCTCGCATACGCACCATGCACGTTAGCCCACAATCCCAACATACAATTCTTGCACACATGCCATCACACACTTTCCACATATCAATACACACGCCAATCATACCACAAAGAAGTACATCACGGCCGCGCGTGCCTCGATTATAAAGCAAAACCTACTTGGGCACGTCCCATACCATGCCTAGCAGATTTTACCCCATAATCGCGCACTGCATCACGAGATACAAACACACTCGCACACTAACTCACACCATGCATCACTTTCACAATCCTCTCACTCGTCTTGCCAAATCCCGCTCGTTCTCAACCTTTCCACCACTACCGCGCCCGCGTAAAACGCATCAGGCCAACGGTCTTCTGACCTCGTCAGGCATCGACACCCCGTCGGGCCGGGCATCGTCACCTCGTCAGGGACGGCATCGTCCTGCGTAAACGAACACGCCTCAGGACGGAATCCTACACACACTTTCCTTCTACCGCGCCCGCGTAAAACGCATCAGGCCAACGGTCTTCTGACCACGTCAGGCATCGTCACCCCGTCGGGCCGGGCATCGTCACCTCGTCAGGGACGGCATCGTCCCGCGTAAACGTACACGCCTCAGGACGGACCTCACCCCGTGTAAACGTACACGCCTCAAGGTCTCACCTTTCAAACCAATCCTATATTCCAGTACCTTCGTTCCACTCAAACCACATTTGTCACACGGCCACACCTACACACTGCCAAACACGCACACCTCACACGCATTTCACAATTTCACATTCTCGTCACACGAACACGCCACCCAATCACACATTTTTGGCACGCGAATACAATACGCGAATGCACTATCACACCACCACATCTCACGGCCAAGCACACACTGCATATCACCAATCCACATTCAGCCCAAGCATAATCCAAATCAGCCCACGATCACAAATCACACAACCACGTACACAATTCAATTCATAGCATAATTCCCACTGATCGATTGCACAATTCAACCCCAATCCAATCACAACATCACGGTCCTACCCAAGCTTTCTATACCTCAAATTTTCGTCGCCAAGTCAGTCCACAACCACCAAATAACCAGTCTCTCAATTCAGCCCCAAATAGCCCCTAAAACAGTCACAAAATCCCCTAAACCGAACCCTAAACAGTGACCGGAATCCCATCAAAATAAATAGTAAACGAACTCCAAAAATTCTAAATTTTGGATACGTCACAAAACACATCCTGATAAACATTTCTTATGAAGAACACGAAATCCGGTTCAAACTGCAACCATGCCTTTTTGTCCCTCGAAATCAGACCAAAATCAGTTTGCTCCAACAGAATATTTTGTCCTCAAAATACATTTATTTCAACACCCAAATCACCTTGAAAAGCTTTGAAATTTTTATATGTTATATCCACGAATGTCCCCAACAACTTTTGTGAAGGAAGAATTTTGAAAATAGGTCTGGAAAAATTTATAAAAATTCGAACAGACCCAAAGGTCGGGTGAACAGTAAATCAGGCAGTTTTATTTCGGTCCAAAGATGGACTTCCGAATGGCATCAAATGATTTCCAAAAATTCCCAAATTAAAGTATGTTATACTTCAAGATGTTGGAAACAACTTTCATGAAGAAACCTTCCTCAAATTCGACACACAAAATTCTCTACAAAAATAGAAAATCGGGTTGGTACAGTAACCGCGATTCACCCCGAACCTCACGGATTCAAGCCCGAACCGATTTCTACCGAATTCCGACCGCCAAAACTCATTTCCCGACGTCTAATCCAACCCGCAACAACCACTACCAGCCATACTCAGCCACCAATAACCATGATCAACCACCAATAATCATTATCAACGCCTTAATTAACCTCTAAATCCTCTAAACCATACCCGAACGAGTCCGAAAATACCCGACGTCCTAAATAGGGATTAGATCGCGACTTACCCGAACTCTAGACTAACTCGGCTAGAGCGGCAAGGGGGAACGGCTGGCCGGCGGTGATCGGTGGTGGCGGCTTGCTCCGGCGATGCTCCGGCGATGATCGGCGGTCCAAGGCCGAGAGAGAGATGAGAGGATTTTTTGGTGAGGGAGAGAGGGAGAGAGTTCTCTGTTGGGGGAGGGGCTGCCGAGAGAAGAGAGGGAATGAGGAGAGAGAGAGAGAGGAGAGAAACAATTAAATATTTGGTCCAAGGTTTGACCAATTTTTTTCTTAATTCCAATTTTGCCCCTAAAACACTTGGTCCACATTCTTCCAAACCAAAATATCTAAGGGCGTTTTTGTCCAATATTTTGGGGCTGATATTTATCCACACTTAATCCCCAAATTCAATTTCCAAAATCCCCAAAATTCGGAATACCCAAAAATAAGCCTAGGGGCAAAATCGTAATTTTCCGGTCCCGGGGCGAAATTCCAATTTTCGCACATACGTGTTTCATATGTGCGTGGCCAACATAATACGGCGTCAGAATCGCGAAATTCACTTTCTAAGTCCTCGAAAATCGACTGCGAAGTTCCGGGAATAAAATAATATTATTTTTCACTTCCGAGCCAAAATTCCAATTTTTGACCGAAACAACTCCGAATGTGCGTGGCCACCCCAAAATGACACTAGCCTCGAAAAATAACCTCAAACGGCCTCCGAATCCAACCTCGGTGCCCACAGGGGCAAAATCGTAATTTTCCCGGTCCCGAACCGAAATCCATTTTTTTGCAGAAATGGTTGGCCCCAAGGTTGGCCAAGCCAAAAACGTCATCGGCCGTCCAAAATTGTCACTTTCAAAATTCTCGATTCCCGAGCCCGAATTCCAAGAAATGACTAAAATCGAGCAATCGCAACTTTAGCTTATCTCTGGCTAACGGGTGGCTCTCTGGAATTACGCGCTCTCGACCCGTAACCGACACTAAGTCAAATCACGTTTAAGTTTACTCCACCTGGGACGACCTCGGTTGTCATATAATTGCAGTGGCGTCTGTCGCTAGTTCCCTTCGGACACGATCAATCAAGTAGGCCAGGTCTCGGTTGGCTCAAAACATTCCCTCGTCAATCCATATGGTCGAAGATCGAACTCGAGTCGAGTTCTTTGGTCGTGCGAAGTCAATCCCGTAATAGCCCTACCCCTAAGGTTAGCATCCCGTGAATGCGCATTTCCGGGTGAGATCTCACTACAAGTGCATTGATCAAATTCATTTCCTAAATCCCAAGAAAAGGATCGAAAATTCAGACTGTTACAAGCACGGCAAAAAAAGTTAAAGAAAAGAACGAAACAAGGTTGCTGTACCGGCGCGGCCCCACCTGTCCTGCCGCTCCAGCAACGGCTGCAACCCACCCAGTGACGTCGGTGAACGAAGAAGCTCCAGCGACGAGCTGGCCACACCAGCACGACCTCGACCGCTGCGGCAGCACTTCAAGGCACTTCACCGAGCTTCCAGCAGCGCCGGCGGATCCCTGCAGCAGTCTAACAGCATCGGCGAGCCTCCAAGCAATCCCCGCAGCGCTTCCGACGACAAGGCCTAGCGATTTGTCCCCTCCTTGCATGTCCTCCCGACGTCCACCAGCAAGTCAAAGCCCCTGCAGATCGCTGCAGCAGTTTCCAGCAGCGCCTGACGTACACCAGTGCATTCCCGGCATCTTGGCGAATTCCCCACTGCCCAGCTTGTTTTTGCGGTGCCGGGAGTCCCCTTGTCGGGCCAAGCCAACTTCCAGCAACGCCAGCAGCTGTCCACCGCACCAGACTAGCTCATTGTTGTGTCCAAATTCTCTTTTCGCAGGTGTCCAGCAGCTGTCGCTTTCGCCGCCCGTCAGAGCTTCCACCGGTCATGCTCTCGCCAACGATCATCAAGTTTGACGGCCACATCCCCTCCTTGTTTCAATTCCTTGAAGTTATCCTTGATGATCTATGTTAAATCTAATTAAGGTAAGTCTAGGTTTGTTTATTTTATATGGTGTTTTAATTTTATTATATAGTTCTAAATACATATTATTTAATAGCAAAAACTTAGGTTATTATTCCATTGCATTAATTAAGATATATTAGGGCGTTGAACCTTTGAGCCTAAAGGTTAGATCCTTAATATTGTCTCATATATGATTTATAATATGGTTTGTTATGCGTGGTTGATTAAATAAATTTTGATTGCGTTGAAATAATGTGACATTCGATTATATTGATGAATTATGGGAAAGATATATATTTCGATGCATTACAACTATTAAATAGATAAAATTCTCGAGTAACAGCATAAAACTTTGGAGGATTGGTTGATATTGCATTTATCATGTGTTTAGGACCTTTTACGGCGGCGATAGGACAACAATACCATGGAAAATGTGTTTCTCAACTTGGTCCTACTCTCCTTTTGCTTCTGGGCCTAGGAAACTGTCAAATAAAAACAACCTGCTAAATAAATATCTATGTCACTTCAACACCAGCATCTTCGTTGCCCTTGCAAGCATGCTAGACTTTTAAAAGCAAGAAGCACGAAAAGTCTTTAGACAAACCATTCACGGAACTCCGACCCAACCTCGGTGGGTCCCATATGCATTGTTGACTGGTGCAGCATCTTCTATTTTGCGTGGCTGAGGAGGATTCCTATCTTGAACATGAACTTGTTATACATATCCCGAGAAGTCTCTAGCCTCATAAGCGACTGGAGTAATATCTTCTCGTTCAGAGAGAGAGAGAACAAAAAATGGCGGAAGCTGTCATCGGGAGCATTGCTGGAGAGATCATTGCTAATCTGGTTCCTCAGGCACTAGAAAAAGTTGGAAAGTTATGGGGCGTCAAGCATGAACTTGAGAAGCTCAAAGACAGTCTCTACGCTTCGGGCTGTACTGGACGATGCAGAGGAGCAATACTACAGGAGTCGCCAAATCCAAGTTTGGCTTGAGAAACTGAAAGATGCTTTTTATGATGCGCAGGATGTGCTTGAAGAATTCAACATAGAAGCCATGCGACGAGAACTAAGGGGCCACAATGAAATGATCAAGGAGGTAAAGGCATTTTTCTCAAGTTCAAACCAGCTTGCTTTTAAACTGAAGATGAGTAGAAAGGTAAGAGCAGTGAGGGAGAGAATAGAAGCAACTAAGGCTGATAGGGGATTTCACTTGGATGAGCGCCCTGAGAGAGAGTGGAGCAAGAGAGGAGACGCACTCATTTATATGTGAGGGAGATATTAAAGGGAGAGATGATGATAAGTAGAAGATTATGAAATTTTTACTGGATTCAGACGTGAAAGAGCACATTGCCATCCTTCCAATTGTTGGTATTGGCGGGCTTGGAAAAACGGCTCTTGCTCAATGTGTATATAATGATGAGATGGTTAGTAAACAATTTGACTTGCAAATGTGGGTTTGTGTCTCTAATGACTTTGATGTTAAAAAAATAGCGAAAAATATGATACATTGTATAAAGAAGAAAGAACCGAATGAGGTTGTGATGGAATGGTTGCAATGTGAACAGAGGACAAAAATCGAGGTTGTGATGGAACAGTTGCAAAGTGAACTGAGGGCAAAAATTGATGGAAAGAGATATCTTATAGTTTTAGATGATTTGTGGAGTGCAGAACGAGAAACATGGCTGAGCTTGAAAACATTATTGGCTAGAGGTGCTAGAGGAAGCAAGATACTTATAACTGCTCGTCTTTCTTTGGTTGTGGAGATCACCGGCACTACTTCGCCTCATTTTCTTGGCGGCTTATCTGAAAGTGCATCTCTTGATTTATTAATGCAAATGGCTTGTCGAAAAGAAGAGCAGACGCAGGATCCTGACATGCTAGCTATTGGTAAAGAGATAGTTAGAAAGTGTTCTGGGGTTCCATTGGTTGTTCGAACCGTTGGGAGTTTACTATTCTTTAAGAAAACTAAACCCGAATGGTTACATTTCAAAGATAATGAGCTCCCAGAAGTGTCTCAAAGGGAAGACCGCATAGTATCTGTTCTTAGGCTAAGTTATGACCATCTTCCTTCACATTTGAAACAATGTTTTGCGCTATGTTCATTGTTTCCCAAAGATTATAGGATAAAGAAGCAGACTTTGGTCAATCTTTGGGTGGCAGAAGGATTTATCCAGCCATTAAATAGAAGTCGGCATTTAGAAGACATTGCTCATGGGTTTTTTTATGGATCTACTTTCAAGTAACTTCTTCCAAGATTATGAAAAAGACACAGAGACTTGCAAGATGCATGATATGATTCACGATCTAGCTTGCTTAGTTGCAGGGACTGAGTGTTGGGTGGCATGGGAAGACACAAAATCCATACTTGAAAGAACTCGTCATATATCTCATGGTTTGACTTCCAATTTGATGCGTGAACTTCCAATCTCACGTTTGAAAGCAAGTTCACTGAGAACATTTCTTTCTGCTATGCCCGAACCTACATATGGGGAACATTTCTTTCTGCTATGCCCGAACCTACATATGGGGAAATGGAACAAAGAGAACCAACAAGCGAAGTAGATCTACGCCAACTCATTCAAAGTTTCAAGAGCTTGCGCATCTTGGATCTACATGCCGCGAATATCAAGAACGTGCCGAGGTCCATTTGTGAGTTGAAGCATCTCACGTACCTCGATTTCTCTCACAATAATGCACTCAAAAGGCTTCCTAACTCCATTACAAGATTGCAAAATTTGCAAACACTTAATATCTATAGTTGTTTTGCCCTTGAAGAATTGCCAAGGGGTATAAGGAAGTTAGTCAACCTTCGAAATCTAGACATAAATGAATGTTGGAAACTTAGTTATGTGCCACATGGACTAGGGCAATTAAGTTCTTTGCATAGACTAACACGCTTCATTTTGCCCAAAGTTAAAGCTCTTGCTAAGAATTATTGCCGACTTGGGGAGCTAAATGGGCTTAATAACATTGGGGGAAGCCTTACTATTGAAAATTTGGGACACGTGGCAAATGCAATAGAAGAATCCAAGGCTGCAAACTTAATAGGGAAGCATTCTCTAGAATCTTTGGAACTTCGATGGGTCTATCTCGATACTGAAGATGCAGTAATCGGGGATAGAGATGAAGCTCTATTAGATGGACTGATGCCGCACTCAAACCTGCAGAACTTGAAGATAAATGGATATAAAGGTAAGAGCTTTCCGAGGTGGTTGATGGATAGCCTTGTGTTTTCCTTGCCAAATTTAGTTGAGGTACACTTGCAGCAATGTGGAAGATGTAAATATCTCCCTCAATTGGGCCAACTACCTCACCTCAAGTCTTTAAGTATTTGGGGGCTGGATGAATTGGAATACTTCGAGCCAGACCATTCATTCATCACAACACCATTTCCTGGTTTATTAAGATTACAGATCGGTTACTGCCAAAACTTGAAAGCCATGCCACTAACTCCACATCTTGAGGAGTTAATGCTGAGTAAGGTCAACCTAGAGTTGATAAATCAGATATTTGGCCTTAATAAGTTGAAGAGTCTGGATATCTCAGAGATGGATTTTCTAGAATGTTTGCCCGAGAAGTGTTTCCAAAGTCTTACTTCACTTGAAGATCTTAGCATCAGTTGTCATCGGTCAACTTCCCTCTCACTTGGTATGCAACATCTAACGAACCTGTTGAATGTCTCTTTTTGGTATTGTGAGGAGCTTAATTTATCCAAAGACGAAAGCGATAACATCTTGGATTTACAAGGATTGAAGAGTCTCCGGTTTGTGGACCTAGTTGACATTCCCAAACTAGCATCTCTCCCACAGTGGGTTCTACAGGTTAGCAATCTCAAGAGTCTTCGTATTTACAGGTACTTAAATTCGAAGGATTTACCAGAGCAGATCGAGGCTCTTCAATCACTTCAATAGCTTGAAATCATCCGGTGCCCCTTGTTGACGTCATTACCTGAAGGGATGCGAAGGATCGCATCCCTTAGTCACCTAAGAATTGCAGCTTGCCCAGATTTGGAGGAGCGGTGCAAAAAAGATGCAGGCGAGGACTGGTACAAGATTGCTCATATCCCGCACATAATTCATGAGCTCGAATATTACGATCATCTCTTATGACTAGAAATTCTCCACTTATCTTTTTTGTAGGTATGTGGTCCTTTTTTCTCAGAATTTACATGAATAATTTCTTTTGAATTGTGTTTCGATACTTGATTCAATTGGGAAAAACATCACCGAATGGTTTGGACACATCCTTGGACGCAAGTATTTACACGGTGAGGAAATATCCACGTTGTTCCTTCATATGGCGCCCAATGGGATGCCCCTAAACTAAGTGCTCGATTTATCCAAAAGTGTGAGGAAAACAAAGAAAACTCATGCTCCTTCTCTACCAACTCCGAGCTCTTAAATTTGGCTCGGGAATCATGCCATAGATATAGTGTGAACTCTACTTATTTGATTTCACAAGGAGTACAATGCATGCATAGTCCCATGATTGTGGAAGCTGACAATGAAAACTCTCATAGATGAATCGATGTTTTTTTTTTTCCATTAATTGCGTAATGAAACTGAAGAATCATCCGTTCACGGCTTTAAGGAAATAATTGCTTGTTTGGTCGTTTGGCTTGCTTGAACCTAGTATAACTTCGACAAATGCATTTGTTTTCACGTTGCCTTGACTATTCTTTGATTTTCTCTTACCCTCCTTTTCACATTGACACAATTTCTCAGTGTAATTACTATGTCAAGATATGCAGTAGATTTACTTAATTTAATCTCGCATTAAGTTATAATAATCTTCGAAAGGATCCAAGTGGTTTCGCTACTCATGGCAGCAACATAATTTCACATTCATTCTCGATCTATAACACTGACTTATATATGGCGTTTATCAATTGACATTCTAATTTAATTAACTAAAATTTATATATTTCACAATGATAGCTATTAAAAAGACGATAATCGGTGAAGAACAAAGCTATCCCTAACAGCAAGAATACCTGCCCGAATGGACTTAAGTGATGGCTCAAGGCTTGTCGCCCCGTTGTCGCCTAAGCTTGCCGCTAAAGGGATTTAGCGACTGCTTTGTGAAGCCGTTGCTAGCTTTTCAGGGACGGCTACCAGTGCCGTTCATAATGGCTATTGTGATTCAACTTCATTCTTGTGCCGTGAATTTCGCTAGTAAACTATAGATCCTATCGGTTGATTTACAGGACCAACAAATTGTTGGCTTCGTACTCTGATGGTAATTTACCAACAATGTAAGGAGTTTACAGGCGTCAAATCCAAAAGCTAGTTATCACTATGTTTAGAAATTTACTACTTCAACAAACCTTACTATTTGACCAAAAAAAAAAAACCTTACTATTTGTAATCAGCTTATTCATTCTCATTCCTGTTTACTCATATTTGACAAAGTTACCAATGTTGGCCCAACTTTAGGGTAGTAAATTATCAACAAGTTTAGATATTAACCAGTCAAAACAAAGTTGTACTAGTCAAATTATCGTGGTAGGCTTGCTTTCAAGGCGATAAGTTGCCGACAATTTAAGAAATTTACCAAAGTAAAAATAACTAGTAAGTTATCAACCTATTTAGAAATTTGGCATCATAATAAAATCTTACAGTGCTAACATACAAAGAGATTTAGCAATTTGTATTCATTTACCATCACACACTTCAATTTACTAATGTTTGGCCAAGTAACCAATGTAGACCCGCTTATAAGGTAATTAGTTAACTACTAGGAGTTGCCCTAGTAGCCACCCTTCTCAAATGGGAAGGGAGAGGTGAGAAGTTCGAATACTCACCTTTTCAAAGTGGGCTAAGGGTGGAGACTTTTAGTTTCAGGTGTGGGGTTTGACTCCCATGTTTTGCAAAGAGATAGAGTAAAAATCTGAAAGTAAGTTGAGAATTAGAGTAGGACAAGAACCAAAAAAAAAAAAGTAGTTAGTTGACAGTGAGGTAAGGAATTTAGCCAAGTCAAACTCAAAAGTTAGATATCAACTAATTTTTACTATTTAAAACAATTATTACCAATGAAGTCAAGAACTTACAAAGGTATTATCAATTTGTATTCAATGGTTTGTAAATACTCTTCAATACAAGTGAAATTTTGAAGGGAAAATCGTCCTGAACTTTTGGAGCCGTATCAATCGGCATTCCCACTTTATGAAATCTACACTTTCCATCTCCAGATAAAACCCCAAGTTCTGCAAGACCAATTTACCGCTCTTTCAGAAAACCCTAGCCGTCAACTACTCCCCAGCCCAGCAGCCACCTACAAAATAAATCGTTGCCACCGTGTCTACCACAACTCGCCGCCATTGCGCTACCCACTGTTGAGGTTGTCCTACGTTGGTTGTAGAAGGGACTGGTGGTCAGTTTAAAAGTGTAAGGAAAAACCTCACCCTTTGAACTAATTTTTGGGGTGAGAGAGGTCCAAGATCACCCAACACTGGTATCAAAGCCCAGGTTGTCAATAAGTCTGGACCCAATAATCACACGAGAGAGATACGGGTTGTCGCGACTCCGACCCAAGGCCCGATGTGCAGGGAAGAGATTGTTGAGGTTGAACCACATCGGTTGTGAAAATGGGCTGATGGTCAGTTTATAAGTGTGAGGGAAAGCCTCATTTTTTGAATTAGTTTTAGGGGTGAGAGATGCCCAAGACCACAATATTGGTATCAGAGCCTAGGTTTCCAACAAGTTTGAACCCAACAGTCACACGGAAGAGATACGGGTTGCCGCGGCTCCGACCCAAGGTCTGACGTGTGAGGGAGAGATTGTTTAGGATTTCCCACATTAGTTGTAGAAGGGGCTAGTGATTAGTTTATAAGTGTGAAGGAAAGTCTTACCATTTGAACTAACTTTTGGGGTGAGAGAAGTCCAGGACCACTCAACACCCACGCTTGCCACTTTCCCTAATGCGAGCTCGAGTTTGTGCTACTGCCCCTTGCTGACTCAAGCTCAAATGCGAGCTCTGCTCAGAGCTCGGCCACGCGAGCTTGCAGCCATGGCCCACTTTGAAACAAAACAAAAGGCTATGCCGAGCTCAAGCTCATCATGAAGCTCAGCCATAGAGAACTCCACATCGGTCGAGCCAACCTTGATCTGGATTATAATGGAGGTTAAGGGCGGGGAAGTTCGCGTCAACCTTTGAGCGAGGGGGTTAAATGCGTGGAGATCAACTTTCCGCATCAAAAGTGTCAACTTTAAAACCAATTAACTTTTACCTTTTGCGATGTGTTCATCATTTTTCGAGCACAACTTCATAGACCATCAGACTGCATATCAATTTATGCATTCATAGAGGTTGAATCCTCAGTACTTGTTGGATTGAAGTTTTGACGTGGCTCCATTCCTTCGGAAAAGTCTGCAGCAACTTGTTGACATTCTCTGCATTGGTGTACGTCTTGCCTTGGCTTGCAATACCAATGTTAATGTCAGTGTGTCTCGTGTACATCAAGGTGAGGCTTTCTTCTTGCTTCATCTCAAATATCTTGTAGTTTCTTAGGATAATGTTCATCTTGGTTTCTCCGATTATGTCAGTCCCTTCAAAGGTGACTTCAAGTCTATCACATATTTCCTTTATTGTCACACAAGAAGAAACTCCGTTAAATTCTGATGTTGAGAAAGCACAATGTAAACTATGAATCGCTTTGGCATTAAGAGTAAATCTTCTGGTCTGTTCTTCTTGAGGAATGACTCCTGGAGGTGGAATACCATTGGCAGGAGTAGCTGGTTCTTCTCCTTCAACTGAATCTACTGGAATTACAGGAATTACAGGAATTTGAACTCTCCGAGGGGCAGGAGCAAATGTTCCTCCTTCAATGGCATTCCATAGTGGGTAGTCCATGGATTGAATGAAGACCTTCATTCTGCACTTCGAATACCCATAGTTAGTTCCGTCAAACATGGGAGGTCTAGAAATACATTGACCTTCAACGAACAAAGCTCCAACCATGTTAGCCATTTGCAAATATCTTTATGCTTAGAAATACAACATTTCAGAGAACAAGCAATCAAGCTTTGCTACCAATTGTTAGGACTAACACTACTACCTAGTAACCTAGAGGGGAGATTACAGATTTTAAAATTTTTCTCCTGATACTTACAAGAGTACTTTCATAGAGGCGAAGACAAATAAACAGGTCCCGATTCTTCTAGTAAACAAGTAAATGAATTAATTAAAAAGATATAAGACTTTGCAAGTAGATATATAGTGGTTTGTCCTATAATCAAGCCTACATCTACTCTCCCTTACTGACAATAAAATATTATGTTGAAAATTCCATTAGTAACCTTCAGAGGTCACAAATAGTAGTAGGTGCTGCTTTTACTCAAAACTATTAGATAACTTTACTAAAACATAAGCACCGCTTTCACTCTAAACACTCTCTGATCACAGGTTACAATACACGAACCCTTTTAAAGGAGAACAAATTAGAATACAAGAAGTGAACACTTTATGAGCACGAGAGCTTTCAAGACAAATGGAAAATAGAAGCTCTTTCAAATTCTGTCACGTTCCTCAACAATCTTTGAGATATGTTCATTAGAAGTCCTAAAACTTGTCGCAAAAGTGCAATTAAGTCCTAAAACTTGCAAAAAGTGCAATTAAGTCATAAAACTTGTCATATTGGTTCAATCAAGTTTTAAAGTTAACACTGTCAAATTTATTAATGGAAAATGCTTATGTGGCATATTTTAATATTTTCTCTTTCCTATGTGGCGATGATGCAGCTAAAATGTGAAACATAAGACTAAAACGACTTCATTTTGGCCCAAATTTAGTTTTTAGTACTAATTTTATTTAAATTAAATTAAAAGAAAAGCTTTAAAAAAAAGAAAGGAGGAGGAGGACTAGCAGGGGTCGCCGGGCCCCGGCTAGGGCGGCAAGGGCCTGCGGGCCCTTGCCCGGATTTGGGGGAGGGTTGTGACCCCTCGCCCAGATCTGGTCGAGGGCGTGCAAGCCCTTGCCTGCCGTTGGTGAGGATCACCGGCCCCTGGCTGGAGCCCGACGACCCCTGCCTGCTGTCCCCTACCCTTGCCGGCCCCTCCTAGCAATGGTGGGGCGGCGGCGGGGAGGGTGCCCCTCCACCCTGCCTGTTCTCCTCTCCTTCTCCTTTTTCTTTTTTTTCTCTGTGTTTTTTTTTTTCAATTTGAGCTTATTTTTTAAAAATAATTTAAATAAATTAGTATTAAAATAATATAAAAAAGTCACGTCATCTCCATGTCGGATAGAAAAAATAATAAGACCGTCACGTCAGCATTTTTCGTTAACCAAATTGGACGGTGTTAACTTTATGACTCGATTGAACAAATTTGATAAATTTTAGTACTTGATTGCACTTTTTGCAAGTTTTAGGACTCAATTGCACATTCGTAACAAGTTTTAGGACTTCTAATGAATATATCCCTAAATCTTTTAAAGACTTACGACCCTTGGTTTAGCCATTGGAGATTCCTCTTCTTGATCAAATACTCGTTGGACAAGAGTTCCTTCGCGAGCATGCAGACTGCCCATACAGTCTGCTATTGCTGGGT